CCCTATAACGACCACTAAGGGCCCTCATGACGACCGCTGAGGGTCCCACAGGACTCCAGGGGCCCCGCTGGCCTCTGAGGGACTCTACGACGGTCTCTGCGGGCCCTCGTGACGGCTCTAGACCCAACTCAAGTCTGAGGGCCCATTTGGCTTCAGACGGCCCAGCGACGGCCTCTGAGGGCCCCAACACAACCAGGCTGCAGGGGCTATGCTGGCATCTGAGGGCCCTGCAACGGTCTATTGAGGGCCCTAACAATGGCCTCTAGCGGTCTTACCAAGGCCTCTGAGAGCCCTGCAAAGGCATCTGAGGGCCCATGAAGACCCTCACTTTGGCCAAGGGCCCTCATGACGACCTCTGATCATCAATGATCCTCTCGAAGGCTTCTAAGGGCCCTCACAACAAATTCTGAGGACCCCAGGACGGTCCCTGAGGGGCTGAGGGCCCTGACGACGACCTCTCTGGGCCCTCACGATGGTCTCTAAGACCCAACGCAAGCTCCAAAGGCCCACGCTGGCGTCTGAGGGCCCCACGACGGCCTCTGAGGGCCTCGACGCAGGCGGGCTCCAGGGGCCATGCTGACCTCTGAGGGCCCTCTTGACGGCTTCTAGGGCCTAACGAAGGCTTCAAGGGCCAACGCCGGCCTCTGAACAACCCTACGACGGCCTCGGAGGGTCTCAACTCAACGCAGGCAGGTGCCAGGAGACATGCTGGCCTCTGAGGGCCCCGCAGAGTTCAGATTCAGAGGACCCAACGACCTTTGTGGACCTTACGAAATACGAAGGTCTCCGAGAGCTCACGCAGGCTCCTGGAATTCCACACTGATTCTCAGGCCCCATGTCGGCTTGTTGAGGCACTTTATCTGCTCTTGGTGCCCCGTCGCCGGCCTCTGAGAGTCTCAATGTCGGAAATTATGGGGCCATGGGTCCTACACCGGCTTTTATGGCCCCTACATCGACTCTTGGGACTCATGACCCATGAAATGTGGGTCTAAGCGGCTTCTAAGAATCCCCATGCTGGTTCTAGTAGCCGCCAGCCGAATATTTGGGCTCACACGCGAGCTCCTGGGACCCCGTGCATACCCCAGGGGTCCACCTGCCTCTAAGACCCCACACATACTTTTGGGGCTCAAACACTTGCCCCTGAAGGCCCCACTGAGACCCCTTTACTCTATTCAGTCCTCCATACCGGCTCTTTAGGCTAAACATCGGCTCCTGTAGCCTCCATCCCGGCTTTGGAGGGCCTCCGCCCTCCATACAGGCTTTTTTAAGGGTCCGATGCCGGTTTCTGAGAGCCCTCAAAAGACTTTCGAGCCTATACTACCTTCTGAAACCTTTCAGCAACTTTCAAGGAACCGACCCTGATCGGAGGGCTCATTCAGTCTGGGGAGTCATGTAGGTCTCTGGAGGAGTCTCTTTGTGGTCGGTTTCAAATGGGCTTCTAAACACGGTCTTCTTGGAACGGTCTCGTAGGGCCCTCAATGGTCCACTGCGGACCCAGAAAAGTGGTTTTAGACGCTGCGGGTGGTGGCTAGACTAAAAGATTAGCCGATAAAAACTAGCTGCATTTGCTTCTTTATGTTTTCATTATTTGAGATAGGTAGGTACCTACACTACAATTTCAAACCTTTTACAGAACTTGTGTGTATGGGGATAGTTTTCCAAAATCTTCGTTTTTTTATAAATCAATAAAAATCACTAAAAAAATTGAAGGGGGGGGGGCCAAAACTTCCAGAGGGGCCCCTTGAGAAAACTTTGCACCCCCATCCAAAATTACCTTCCGCCGCCACTGTGAAGCATTAACCCTCGCCCGCACATGGGGGGGGGGGGTGGTTGCCACCCCCCAGGTAGTCTTTCTGCTCTGCACTCAACATTTTTAGAGCTAGAGGGCTGATTTTTCGTATAGCTGCTCTTCTATCCTTTCTTGATGTTCACTGAAAATTTGAAGTTTCTGTGTCTTTTGGTTTCGGAGATATGACCTTGTTTTTCAGGTCATATCATGACCCAAATGGCCAATTCTCAACATCTTGCGTTTGCCATGGGCCTTGTGAGCTTTTGACACCCTGATTTCGGCCTTTTTTGCCAGTATTACCTCCCACCTATCATGGAACATGTTGTTCGACGATGTACAAGGGTCAAGGTCAGGGTCAAGGTCAACCTAGGTCATCTAAGATAATTGCGTTTTAGGCAAGCGGAATTCACTTTTTTGTGAAGTTTTTTGACTGCATTTTTGGTAAAAGCTTCTCTGATCATGATTTCATGTAATATGGACCCAAATACAATCGGTGCACACATCAGTATACACACAGACACACACAGACATACAAACAAATATAATTGACCTTGACCTAACTTGGCCAGAAATGACCTCAGCAGCAAAATTCTGGTCGGGTAGTGTGACAAAGAGGTTTTAGCTGGCTTGGCACCAGAAAACACCATCGTCATCGGCATTTGATAAGCAGCGCACTTGATATCCAACGGTGACCCAAAACAGCAACATTTTTTAGTTTGACCTGACCTGGAAGGTCAATGACTGACCTGAGAAGGTAAAACTGGGTATCGTTGGATTTGTCTCTTCCCAAAGAATCTTTTTGGTCATTACCGCTAAGCTCTATCTTGGATTTGTCTCTTCCCAAAGAATCTTTTTGGTCATTACCGCTAAGCTCTATCTCCAACAGGAACGAAATGGCGCGGGGGGGGGGGTGGCAACCCCCCCCCCCATGTGCGTTCTAGGATGGGAAAATGGCATGTGCGGGCGAGGGTTAAGCTATGGTAGGTTTTTGACCTTATATCAATCAAAAACACTTACCTATAACGAATAGTAAGCTATAGAGCAATATGTTCGATTAGAAAAGCAGATACAAGAATTTTTGTATCAAAATGAGAAGCTGGGATCTGAAAGTTTGTATCTTTCCACGCTTTTTTTCGACCCCTGAGCTGCTTCGTAAGCGACATAGGGCATTTAATATGAGACAGCTAAGCTAAGAAAACAGTGCCTCATCCTGGCGAAGGAACTAATCATCGTTACAAATTACAATGTGATTGTTATCTGATTTTGATTACGTGATCTAATTTTAAATTTATTGGCACGTAACGTGCAATAAACTAGGCACGAACATTATCATCGTTCACTGGATGCATTGAAGTCATTAGAACTGCCTGATTTTACTGATAAGCTTGCACAATATTAGGCGCTATAATCTATATGCATATACACATTATACATACATGAGTTTCTCACGTTGCACAATCACAACAAGCCATTCGATCAATTAAAGATGTAGTGTTTCACTAGGCGTTTCAAGCACGTCGAACTGCTGGACTATAGCCATGAAACGTGACCGGTACGTTTGCCAAGACGCCATAAAAATCCGCAGAAACGGCGCCCGGTTGTGGCGAAAACTCTGACACGTGACGTTATGCAGCACACGACCGCCATTGGCTCTGGCCACCTTTGACCGGCTGAGTGGCTGACGGCATTCGACGGCATTTAGCACACGATTCCAGCGAGAGGAAGATCAATTAAAATTGGTTTTAGTTATGTTTTAGGGCCTTGGTTTTAGTCATGTACTCGGTGTTAGCTGGTCCGTCTCTGATGCTGCTCAACAGGACTCATCATTCACGTGTAACTTTTTCGCTAATTAGTGTACCTACATAATTGTTTTCCTTTTCCCAAATAAGTTCATCAATACCTATCGATGTGTTTACAGCCGTCTATTATGTACTGTTGTTCGAAGTAGCGTATATGTACTTGACTGTATTTTGCTTTTGTCAAAGTACAACGGGAGCTTAACGGGATTACGTTCTTGTGAATTGTTCCATTCAAAAGGCTCGGACTAAATTTGTTAAAGTGCATAGTTGATAGCAAAGCACATAAAATAAATACACAGCAAAGTAACCCATCTTACGAGTTGAAAGAGCCTAACCTTGACCCAGGGGCATGCGGATCTCTGAAGTTTAGGCGTTCAAACCGAGACATATCTATCTTTTTTTTTGCCACAGCAAGTCTGATACGCTTAGGAGTTATGTAAGACGTCGTTGGTAAAATCAACGTCGAAACTGGTCACCGTTTGACGTTATATCGTAGTCTCATCTTCGATGTTATCCTAAAGTGATTGATATATTTTTGAAGAAATATACCAGCTTTCAACTTTCATTTGCGCATTTGCGGCTAAACGAACTATAAGCTAATGCTTTACTGCACAATGTACATCTTAGGTGCCAGGGTGAGGCGTAGGCTGAAAGCTTCCCATGATTTATGGACTTTATATACGGTCTACTAGCTGTAGTTATATATTTATATAAGGCCTGGGCTGAGGGTAACGTAAGTTTTTCTTATTTCAAGGTTGTATGGCACTAAACAAATTGCCCAATGTCTCTTTCAGCATTGGGCATTGGACATTTCAGCATTATTTGACACTTGATGCCCGCCCACAGTTAACCGATATAAGACACGATTAGAACCTCCCGACAGGGACTGATTTCCCGCACTACCGCTCTGTATGGCGGCACAGTGTAACCTCCAGGCAGTTCTGTACCTATACGCATACACCGCATCCTCACGATACGAAAAAGGTGCAAACTGCAGATGTCAAGAAGCGACGGAATATTTCTTCATGCAGTGCTTTCCATTGTGTGGTGAAGCTTGCCTTTTGCTTATAAAGTTTATATGCTTCTTCGGCATCTGTGCTGTCCATGTGACGAAACTAACTGCCAACCTTGAGAGAAGCTATCCAAGGAATCGTGATTAGGTACTTTTTATGTGAGTCGTTGAATTTAAGTAGATGCATATAAAAGTGAGGGGTTCTGAACACCCTCCAAACCCCTACTTCTTCGACCCTGATCAGTGAATGTAATTCTCTCATTTGTCTGTAGCTGTGAAATTGCTGCTACATTGTAAGACGGCTCTCACCGTCACTCGTCAAGCGTCCCCATCAGACTGCTCATATCTGTCTCATCACTTTCCATAAGCCAGCACCACAAACCTCGACTCAAACACCACACTCACATCGTTAGTTTATTGGGGACAAATATGAACATGAGCGGGAGGTATGCGCGCTGCACAGGATGACGCCATAATGACGTCACCCAGCAGTGAGACCTGCGGGTCTCCTGGTGTTATCGCTGTTGACCCGCGCTAGCTGCCGTGATCGCCGGCGGGACGTGACGCCGGGTTGGTGGGATTGGACGTACTGCTAGTGGGGAATGACGTCACTCCTCAGACACCTGGGGGTCCGCCTGGAAGCCCTGCTCGTTGGCGATCCACCTGAAAAGAAAGGGGCAGGGGTGAGCAATATACAGGCTGTGTCTCAATCATATCACCATTTATGGGTAATTTAGCTTGCACATTTTAATTTGGTAGTGGTACCCACATCGTTTAATATATTTTCCCTACATGTGCATCTAAGATGACTAAGATTAGCCCTTGTAGAAGCCAGTTTCACATATTACGACTGACCAATTTCTCCTTTAGGCCTACAGTAACGAATACTTAGTTAGATAAAGCCGCTATCGAAAAATGGGGATTCAACAGCATGCTGCTGCTGAATCAAACCTTATGCCTGGGTTACCAATGACGTCATTTTCCCGTGATAGTAACTCACGTGACTTTGACGGTCCTGCCCTCGGGCGAGATGTAGGTGTAGCTGCCGCGCATCTCAATGCCGGCCTGGTCACCGATCAGCTTGTTCTGGCCCGACATGTCGGCTGACATCTCCTGGGTCTCATAGCTGACGGACAGAGGGAGAGAGAGGAGAGAGAGAGAGAGGAGAGAGAGGAGAGAGAGAGAGAGAGAGAGAGAGAGAGAGGGAAGAAGAGTCAACGTCCATGTGCAACGACACACTGGGACACTTG